CTGTCTGTATATCCACCAATCCATTTTTGGAGGTTCAATACTTAAAACTTCATTACAGTTGAAATATCTTTCATGAAACAACAATAAAAAACAGAATTCTACATTATGTGCTGAATTTATACCTTCTATTCTATACAGCATTAAGTTTATTTATATATTTACATCAAATATCCTAAGACCTTTTTAAAACTGACTTGTAATTATCCATATATACAAAAACCAAGTCTGTCTAAATGCAGCTTAGATCGTTCCAATTAAGCCGCCATCGTCATCATCATCATCTTCATCTTCATCATCTGCATTCATCATCTGCATTCATCATCTGCATTCATCATTCATCATCTGCATTCATCATCTGCATTCATCATTCATCATCTGCATTCATCATCTGCATTCATCATCTGCATTCATCATCTGCATTCATCATTCATCATCTGCATTCATCATCTGCATTCATCATCTGCATTCATCATTCATCATCTGCATTCATCATCTGCATTCATCATCTGCATTCATCATCTGCATTCATCATTCATCATCTGCATTCATCATCTGCATTCATCATCTGCATTCATCATCTGCATTCATCATCTGCATTCATCATCTGCATTCATCATCTGCATTCATCATCTGCATTCATCATCTGCATTCATCATCTGCATTCATCATCTGCATTCATCATTCATCATCTGCATTCATCATTCATCATCTGCATTCATCATCTGCATTCATCATTCATCATCTGCATTCATCATTCATCATCTGCATTCATCATTCATCATCTGCATTCATCATCTGCATTCATCATCTGCATTCATCATTCATCATCTGCATTCATCATTCATCATCTGCATTCATCAAGTTAGATACAATTATAATTATCAAATTTAGACAATCAAATTCAGGCAGTCATGTATTTCACCTTTTCAAATGGGAATATTTCTAAGGTTCAGATGATTCAGTCAAATTCTTTACTTTACACCAATTCCTTATCTACCTGACATGCTGTATGGTTAACAATAGTAATATCCTTCAAACATTTTCAGATCCAGAGTTAGCTCACAGCTTCAGCTACTGCAGCTAGAAACCACTGATTATGAATGAAATGTTAGTAGCATGACGGGCTCAGATCTGAACCTTCAGAGGCACATAAAGGCAGTTACTAAGTCAGCTTTTTATCGCCTGAAGAACATTTCTTGGATTAAAGGACTAATGTCCAAGCAGGATCTAGAAAAACCTTATTCATGCATTCATCTTTAATAGAATTGATTACTGCAAATATATCTTCATAAGTTTGCCTAAAAAGTCCATCAGTCAGCTGATCCAAAACGCTGCTGCCAGTGTTCTCACTAGAACTAAGAAAGTAGAACACATCAGCCCGGTTCTGAAGTTCTTCCACTGGCTCCCTGTAGTTCAGAGGATAGACTTCAAAATCATTTCTTGCTATAAATCACTGAATGGATCAGCACCCCAATACATAACAGATCAACCTCCCAGACCTCTCAGATCTTCTAGTTCCAGCTTACTCTGTTCACCCAGAACTAGAACCAAACATGGAGAAGCAGCATTTAGTTCCTATGCTCCACTGATTTGGAACAAACTTCCATAAGACTTTATAAGTGCTGAAAGCCTGAGTTCTTTAAGTCAAAGTTAAAAACCCATTAGTTTAGAGCTGCCTTTGACTGTAGAGAAATGACATTAACTGAGGTATCATTAGTTTAAGGATTTGGTGTTTCATTTGTTTCAGTATCTGCTTTTATATATTTTTCAATCCTGGATTTCTTTTATTCTACTTTTATTTTTGTTATATTTTGCTTTCCAAATTATGTAAAGCACTTTGAATTTTACTATAGAAATAGGCGTACCCTGCTTTTCTTACCACAGGCTCTCATAGGGCTGAGCCATATGACCAAAACTTTTATCATGACATATTTCTTAATTTCATTCGAAACAATATTATTTGGATATTAAAGCTACAGTGTGTAATAATTACAGGGATATACAGTCAGAATTGTAATATATTATACATAACTATGTTATTTATCATCATCTACGAGCTCAGCCTCTTAACCTTAATATTTGCGTTGCCTTAGAATTCGTTATTTATAATTACATAGGAGCGGGTCTCGCAGCCATGGAGGCAGACATCTTTGCGCTACGGCAGCGCAGAGCCAACAAAATAGCGATTGCGAGATCGCCAAAACGTCACAAAGATGTAGAAAAAAATAACGGGTATATTTATTATCTAAAGTCTACATGAAATCTATACCCTACACAGACTAATGAAATACTATCTGTAAAATTATCTATGTAAACAAACCTCATCACTTGAGAAGGTAGGTGATGCGGACGTCGTGGAAGACATTTTGTCCCTTAACGCTCGCCGTACTTTTGGGGGGAAGAAGCGGTGGGGGGGAGATGTTCATGTTGCTGCAGTCTGCAGTCTGAGCGCTAGATGTCGCTAAAAGTTACACACTGTAGCTTTAATATAAACAAAGAATATCCTATGAAAAACTGGCAAGAATGTCAACAGCAGTTTCCTAACAGATATATTCATTTTTTTTTGCCACATTTATAAAACTCCTCCACTATAACATTACATTATATATTTTTTTACATTCCTAGGTTTTTTTTCTGATGGTAAATTTCTAAATTAAATTTTTGTCGCCACTTTAAGCTTGTAACAGTAACTAAAGATACCTGGAGGAAAAAAATCTGATTGTTTGAATGTATGGACTGGGTTTTCCCAGGAGTTTGAAGCATTATGAATGGAAATATGTGAAGCAATGAAATCATTCAGTGTTTATGAAAATCTTATGTTAATATGACATTAAACATGGTCCTTTAATAAAATGAAAAGTAAAATGAGGTAATTAGAAAAATGTTCACCATGTGTGCATTTGCATGTTGGCATTATCTAATTTTAGGGGAAGACGGATCATTGTAGAAAATATTTGCTCGGTTATAATTTAATCAAACAAAGAATCCAAAATTATCTGCAATATATCCCTGACAGCTACCTTCTTATATTCAGAGGTTGGAGATTATTCATTTATATGTTTATGTTTTAGTATATATCAGTAAAAACATTTCAATATGTGGAGCCTAAATGGTTTTTTTTTTCTTTAACAAATCTAAAACACCTGCAATAAAGATCAGTCCCAGGTTATGCCTCAAGCTGAGTGACGATCTGATGATTGGAAGCTGTTTTATAATAATAATAATTAAACTTTATTGATCTCAAATTGGAGAAATTTACCTCTGCATTTAACCCATCCCCTTGGGGAGCAATGGGCTGCCACTGTGCTGCGCCCAGAGAGCAGTGTGGGATTAAGGGTCTTGCTCAGGGACCAAAAGTGGAGGCCGTGGCAATTGAACCGGGTACTTGCATCTTTCTTAGAGCTAATGCGCGCTGATCTAACCACCAGGCCAACACTCCACCTCAATATCTCAAAATATTTTCAGTTTAACCTTTTTTGGACACAATGGAGCCATATTTCCTTCTTTCTCTCTGACCGAGCACCAGCAAGGGGATTTTGTTTTTTACTACAGATGCAGCGTCTTAACCAGGTTAAGTATCTTAACCTCAGCAGAACTGTCCCACCCACAAAATCTGCCTCTGTTGGTACGAAAAGTGTCCTAACAAGCTGCAGTTTGATGCAGCAAAACACTAACTCACTTAATTACATCCACTCAGAGTCTGTAATACCTACTGCAAAGCACACTGAGGCAGAGAAAACCATCTAATGGGACATAATCTATTGCGTTATAAAGTGAAAGCTACTTTGCACTGCTAACATACTCCCCATTTTTCTCTGATGTTTAATTAGCTTGTTTGACTTGAAGGTTATTACGAATTGCCTCTGGGTTTCCAGGAAAGAGGCGAATCTTGAACATGTTTAGACCAGTCTCTTCCTCTGTTTTGGTTATAGATTTCTCTCTGAAAGCTTCTCTAGAGGGACCATGTTGTAGCTGTTGGTCAGAATTGAAAGATTCTTCATGCTTAAATGAATGAATTATTTTACCATCAGCAAGATGTTGAGTAGAGATGTGAAGCATTGAGTCTCGTCAACCATGTTGTACATCATCTAATTGTATTTAGACAGAGTTGACTGAGCTGAACAACACCTGGAAAACCCAGCCTGTGGCAGATTCCTACAATTAAACATGTCTCGTCTTTCCTACCTCTCTACATCGACCCTCCCACCTCACCGCAAATTGTTTTAAACCTTTTTTTTTTCTTTTTCAAAGACGCAATGTTCTTACAGAGTCTGGCATTTCATCATGAATATCTTTCATGTCTTTAAAAAAAAAAATGAAGGCTGTTAAAGTACCGGTATTTGGATTTTTCTCATTTTATTCTCTATCCTGTTTTCCGTTTATTTATTTCCATCAATCCCAAGATCCATCCATTTTTTTTGTTAATCAGTTTGACGAAATATTAGAGATGCTGATTAAAAGATTTTAAAATGCAATCATCCTTCTATTGATTCACCGGTTGGTCCATGGATGCAAATATCTACTAGTTCATCCTTGCAAAGATTTAGCATTTAACTTCTACGTCCGCAGTTCTACCGAATCATTCCGTTCATCTGTCCTAAAATGTAACAGCTTCTTTCATTCTCTTCTTATCCATTTGTTACATACCTCCATTTTTCTGCCAATTCAAAACCCTATTCCCTTGCTGTTTCATAGCCCCAACAGCCCATCATACGTTCAAGTGTTTCCATTCATCTTCTTATGTCCTTTCAGTCTGAACTTCTTAAAGATTACATGTATAAAACCCAACCCCTTTGGAAATATCCATTTAAAAAATAAAAAAGAGATACATAAGTCTAGTAATACTGTTAGGTTGTTGGATCTGTCTGTTAAGATTAATTTATGAACCTATCCTGACCTTCAGTACGCTGTTAAATCTATTGAACTAAAAGTATGCCTTTTTATGTTTTTTTTTTTTTTTTTTTTACAAATTGTGTTTTTTTTTTCTTTCTCCATGACAGTTAATAAAAGTAAAGGCCTGCAGTGGGTTATAGACGTGACCATAGCGTACCCCAAAGCAAAGCCAATGGACATCCAGACGTGGATCTTTGGTTATAGGCCTCCTACAGTCACACATGTACATTACAGGTAAGAATCAAACGACATCCCTTCTCTTATTTAATATTTTTCTAATGCTAATTTATCACTTTGTCACTCTGTGAGGAAAAGGCAAAATCCATACTTGAATAAACAAATAAGTTTTGTAGCAAACATGCAAAATATCCTTCATGTTAAAACTCACAATATATGATGAAGTGAGGACTTGAATTGATTGATACTACTTTTGTATCGCTTAAAAAATGTCTTGTTTACAGTGGTGTAAAAGGTGCAACATGGTCACATGCAATCACTAACAATATCCCTGCAAAGTGAGGCAGTTTTCCCTCCTTGCCCCACAGATTCTCCTCTGTTATTCACCTGGGACAACAGGGATGGTTGGCCCTGATGAGATTTTTTTGTGTGTTCACGGTTCACGGTGAATGTCGACTTGTGTGTGTTGTCTTTGCGGGCCAGATCAAAGATCGTCCGATAGAAGTCATTATGACCTTTCCAGATCTGTGTTTTTTTTACCAGTCCATCCAGGCAGGGAGAAATGGGACTTATTGAATCTGTCTCTGCAGGGTTTCTTTGTCCAGTTGTCGTAAACACACAAGACTCATTATATCTGTAATTAGAGCCGCAGCTTTTGCTCCTCCCATTTTCACAGGACGCTCTAATCAGCCATTGATGCGATCAGCCTCCCCTCGCTCAGTCAGCAGCCCCTGTGCTCCAGCTGTGTAGACGGTGCTGATTGTTGGGAAGTTAAACCCATGCTGGTAAAGGTGCCGAGTCAAGAAGAGGATTAATGTGGCTGCTGATCAAGGAAGCACAGTGGGGGGCCATCGCAATGCGATGCTCTGTCGTGGTGATGATAGCAGAGGCGTTTAGACCACTGTGCCACCCTGCAGCACAGCTTCTGCTGTGTCAGTTAAGGACATTTTTTAATAGTGTGGCGGTTCTTGTATTTATTGTTCTGACTTTGATCAAGTTTTGGCTTCATATCAGCTCTTTAAAGCAGCAGAGATCCACTGATATTTTTTATGACTATTTTCTTATACTATTTTTGTCATGATAATTTTACCAGGTTCGATTTCTCATTCAGGCTTGTATTATAGGGTACTCTCATACAGACCTGCTGTTTTGATCTAATAAGCAGCAACTTCTTCACACCTTAACCATCAAGAAATTGTGAACAATTTCCTTCGGTGGTTTATCATTATCTTCTCAGATGTTGGTAATCATAATTTTCTTAGCTGCCTGGTTAAACCCCCAATAGGCAGGCATTTGTGGATATTCTGTCATTTTTTTTAGTGTGCCTCCCAAAAACTTCAATAACTCACATAATCACATCAACATGTGGTGCAGTTGAAAGGGGAATGTAGAATATTTCTGTTATTTTTAATAAGTAAAGAAAACACCCCTTTTTGAGACAAGAAAATTCTCCAAAAGTGCTTTTTGTTTTGTGAGTCGAAAAATCTCCTAAGACTACTCTGGCAATTTTTTTTTTTTTTTGGGAAACTATTTTGATGACCGAGTAGCCGTAACAGGGATTTCCCCCAGAAAATAAATTACTATAGATAAGCGTAGCCATATTATTTATTTTCCCACAGTGGGAAAAAGGCACCATTAGTATGGAGATAAAGTTGTTCAAATATTATTCAATCAAACAAAAACAATTCTCATTGCAAAAAAATGTATATTGGTCAAAGTTTTTGAATTGGAGTAAAAAAAAAAAATTAACAGAATATATTTTGAAAAAAAAAAGTCTCTAAAGAACTATATGTAAAACATATATGTTGTGCAAATCGTATTTTCTCTTCATGAGAAAATTGAGACATTAAAAAAAAAAAAAAAAAAAAGATTATTCCATTAAAAAAAAAAGATTCATTAGAATTACAAACATTATGATCACTATTTTTATTTTTTTAGATTTATTTGATTTGATTGAATACTATTGAGACATATTTATCTCCATACATTAGAAAAGTTTTGAAGCATGCAGATGTACAAAGTGGGGGGGGGGGATAGAAATAAGAGCACCTAACTGTATCAGTGGGACAAACATCATAAAAAGACAGTTCAGTTATTAAAGCTATCATGCTCTTATTAAACACTTGTAATTGAATAGAGGAGTAAAAAAAATCTACAAATGATACATTTGTAGATTTTAAGAAAAAAAAACCTACAACATAAAAACAAACAAAAAAAACAACCTATTAATGGTTTTGTGAAGATTGTTAATTTCAAAGTTTATTTGGTGGTTGCAGGAAGGATCTGCGATAAAGCTGTATTTGTGCACCTAGTATGTCTGTCACTGAAGGAGCTGTCCGGTTCTGTAACGGCTTCAAACATTGGATGGAAGAGCTTGTTCACTAATTATTTTACCTTTACCAGCGATCTCCTGTCTTCCATCTTGTCTCTGAGGGGTTGCTACCTCTCACCTGGAGATAAGCTAGTAGAAGACGGATAATGACACAACAGGTAGAATCTGCTCCGGCTCCTGTGGCAAAGAGCATCACTGTTACTCCAGTCCAGTTTATCACCCAGATACTTGGTCGAGTATCTAGATGTCAGCTCTAATTATGTTATACTGTTTATTGTAGACACTGTTTTTAATTTCTCCAATATGAGGCTGTATTTTCATCATGACCAGGGGATGCCAGTAACTGAACTGTCTGACATCCTATTAGTGGAAACATAGATTTCTGACTTATATTTGTTGCGTGTTTTCCCAACTTAACGGTGCTTCTGAACCTTTTTATGTTGTTTTTCTAAAGGAGCTGTCAGTTATTGAGTTGTCCTTATTAGTAGATGTACATACAGCAGCTCTTCTGTCAGCAAGTTCAGGCACAGCTGAAAACAGGACAAGGCACTTTAATGCATCTGGGTCTGAAATCCGACATCATCAGCCTGCTTGTTTCAGTGTCAGCCTTATTACAGGGCGGCTATCCTCTGTTATCATCTGTGGGGGCTCTATAGGCTGCATCTGCTCCTGACTATTGAGTAATATTCTGGCTGAATCCACATCAAGGGCTCTTCACTTTTTCAAATCCTCCTCCTCCCCTCCCTCCTTTCCTCACCCATGCCATATAATCTCAGCCTCCCAGATTGCAGCATCATAAGCTCTCTGTGAATGGCAGATGGGAAAGTTAGGTGGGAGTACAGAGGCTGAACGAGGGCAGAAGTGGGTGTTGGATACATAAGAATCAGTTTTCCTTAAATGCACCATCTCCTCCTTTTCTTTCCTTCTTTTTTCCTGGTCTCTTGGTGCTTGGTGTGCTTTTCTAAAAGCTGCTGTTTGGAAACATCTGAAGGGTGATGTGATTTATGTAGTCTGACTCTGCCTGGTCTGCTGTTCAGCTGCACACCTGTTTTGTTTTTAAAGGCTGATTAGTTTGCAGCAGTGAATACTGATTTGCTCCCCGTTATCTCTCTAACTACCTATTATAAAATCGTTGACTAAATGAAACATTAGTCATTCGTTATTTCTCTACGCTAATTAGTAATCCAAGGATGTTCCTAAGGATAGGATTTTCAAGGTGCTTATCTCAACAAAGGGGGAATTTAAAAAGATGAATAAATAATAATAAAAAAAACACCTCCTGCATTAAAAACTTATTAGTAGAATCAAGGATTCATACTTCAATAAAGGCAGCATCAACGTTAAAGTGTTTCTTTCATTTACGCAGTTTCTAGATTAATTACTCTGTTTTAAGAGGGAAAGAATAAAAAACTTAGATAATTTAGTCTTGCCACAAAAAAAATGGTAATGAAAACTTAAATAAAATTAAATGTTTAATCTGAGTAAATTTACTCAATATGGAGAGAAAAATTTAAGGAAATTAGTACCACACTTAATATCTCATCTAATAAGACTGCAGCCACTGTGTCGTTGTTTACTACTTCTAATTCTGTGTTTCTGCGGGTCATTAAAAGTCATTAAGTAATTAAATTATTATTTTTTAAATTAAGGCCTGAATTGGTATTAAAATTCATTAAATGTGATTATTATGGCATTTAGAATTTATTAAATGTGATTATTGTGGCATTTAAAATTCTTTATTTAACAAAAAAAAAAAAAAACTTTGTTCACAAAAATGTTCAGAAAAGTTAGAGAATGGGGAAAATGCTAATTTCAACAAAAGTGGCTGGAAATCGAGGAATTTGGGACATGGCTGCAGCCTGTAGACGGTAAAGATGAAGGATTTTGCCGTGTATATATGAGAGTCGTGGGTACTTGTTTATGGCATTAAAATTATTTCTAAGAGCATTAAAAAACATAAAATTAGAGTTACTCATTCCTGTATAAACCCTGTAATTGTTTCATCACTGAGATTTCCATAGAAGACGGCTGCTGTAATGTGTGAACATGTTTAAGGGTGCATTGTCCAGATATCTCAGGTTATTATCTCGCTGTAGATGTTTTGATGACCAAACTTTATTTTCCAAATGGAAATCACTAGACATTTTATTTATACTAAAAAAAATGTAACATAGGATATAAACTATTCTGAGTAAGATATCCAGACCCAAAGTACTGGAGGATAGAGGAAGGCACCATCTTCCTTTCCCACATTCACCCTTTGCTTTACATCATTTAAGTGTTTTTTGGGTTTTTTTCCCCAGAAAGCTTCAATTTTAGCCTCATTCTGCTGAAAATGTCCAGTATATCTTTCCTAAAATGCAAGTTCAATTTCTGGGGCTGCTTGAGGTGTAGATTAACATATCACAACGCACTTCCAGTCAGCTGGCTGAAAGAGGGCCCTCCACATCCATTTGTTTTCTTTTTTTTTTTTTTATTGGATAACAAAATGATCCTTTAGTGAGATTTGATATGTATACCACACTTGGAGACGATGGGGAAAAAATAATCAAAATCACTTTAGAGGGTGACAAGAAAAAAAAGGAGACTGTCTTTGCAGAATAAATTTGTTTTAAAAAAAAAAGGTCTCTTAGGTTAATTTTCATATGAAGGATATTTGATTTAGAAGTGCAGAATATTTAATGCTGCTGATATTAGTATAAAGTGGCCCAGTTTAGATTTTTAC